GTGTGGCTGATTTGGAGTTCGTCCTCTCGTTGCATTTCAACCGTAAGTGGGAGGTATCAAGTTCAATTCCCGTCTTTGGTGCTCTTTTTTATCTCTCCATATTTTGCTTGCCTCTTCTCCGTCACACTTATGGACATGAAAATTAACTTCTTCGATTTCTTCGGCGCCGTTGTGGGCTCTTCTGCTCATTCCACCCCACGTTTGACTGGCAATATTACCTCCTATTTATACATACAAAATGCCTTCCAAAAACCACCAAGATACCATTACATACCACATACCCAACACTAGTTTAGCTAGTAGTTATGACATTATTTTTCGCCAAATATTCACTGTCCGAAGTCTCAGTTTTGATGCAGGTTTTAGTCTCAAGTCTTAAGTTTCGATCACGAGTTCATCTTGGGCCGTGACTTGCCGAGTACCAAAAGGGGAAGATGCACCCCTATTTGAGCCTTCATGTGGCATCTAAGGGCTAAGTGGAGGCCAAAGAAAACCCCCCGCATTGAATAGTATGTAATCATTCCTTGCCTCAATTGAAATAATTTAGAGGGTGGTATGTGCAAACTGGCTGCTTTCAATGATGTGGCCCATGGGAAATTGCTTTTGTGAAATGTAAAACATCACATACTTGCATATGGTTGTCCTATACAGCATCTTGATGTATTTTCGAGCATTTAGGCTAGATAAATCGCACCTCCAATGCATCCTCAGGCTCGTGTCAATGTTTAAAAATGCGTGGGAAGGATTCTGTCAGCACGTCGCCGATAATGCCGACATCAATCAGACTGCGGAGTTGCGACTACGACTTGAGACTACCGACTTGGGACATGCTCAAAAATATAGACATAGTATTAAGGTTCAGTGAAATCCTATGAGACTATGGATATTTATCGAAAAATGATCTCATAAGTAGTACCGCTGCATGGCCGCATGGCCAGGTACAGCGTAATAGAACTCAAGTTCAAGTTCAAGTTCAAGGAGGGGAATTAGCCAACTCATTACTCTGTGTCTGAGTGTGTCGCAGGTGGGTGATCCCCATTAAGTCTGCATCAAGATTCGGCTCGACAACTTCTGCGTTTGTTGTATCACTTTGCAGTGGCTCGATTCTACTGTGATCTCTTCAGTTTTTGCTGATAATATATAATCTGGGTATAATTATCGTTGAATATCACGGTACTAGGTACAACTTTACAAGTGGATCAATTGTCCGCTACTTGTGTCATTTGCGCTGAAACGGTGCACCAACGTATAGGCTGCGAAATGTAGCTAGATATAGATAGAAAACTCCGAGGAGAAATCACACTAAAAACCAACCAACACACACAACACACTACACACAACCGATACGATGTGCTAATACTTGAGTTCGGGTCACCCTGAAGTATACAGGTAAGATTGATCCTTCTCTCGTGTAGTTTGAACAATATCAACTCTAAGAAAGCCTTGTTAGGACTTCCGCGGAGCGCAGTAGTTATAAATAACCACTAAAAGTCGACCACTCTGATACCGCGGAGGGTATTTTCGGGTGTATGGAAATATGAAAGTGTCCTCGGACTACCAACTTATGGGTCCTCGGGATCTCTGCACAATTGTACGACCGTCCTACTAAGGCGGGGAGCGATTCCAATACAAAGGCAAACTGCGACCGTCCTGCTCAACGGGGGCGATTCCAACAGTCACTCGGATACGACCGCCCTGCTATACGGGAGCGATTCCAATACCCTGGCTACGACCGTCCTACTAGAGCGGGGAGCGATTCCAATAGCCAACCTTGCCACTTAACAAGGTTCTTTTAACGGTTTCTCAACTCCGCGGAGCGAAGCGAGGTGTAGAAGGCTTAAGATGAACTTAAAGCTTTTTAGAGCCAACAAATATCAAAGCTTCAATTTAATGAATCTACACAAAGAGATGTTTTATATCACAAATCTCCGCGCTGATACAGAGGACACCGAGGCCGGTTAATGGCAGGTGCCGTTCGACTACTGTCTGGGCACCTCCGCGGGCAAGGATGAACTGCTGTACTGCGGGTTTTCCGTGGGCTTTTATACTACTTTCTAAATAAATTACAAACAACAGATGTGTAACAGGAAATAAGAGAGACTGAGTAATACGGAGCGAAATAGGAAGAAACGCGCGGCCAAGGCCTCTCTAGTTTGGTGGGTCGGCAGTCGAGAGTCATGTTGAATGACTCCGCAGACCCGTTTTGGGTATATTTGAAATTCCCGCGGAGGAGCCGAACACATTCGTGTCCATGGCCGCCCCGCGGAAGGGTACGTCCTGCGCCGGCATGGTTGATAATCCCAGCCATTGTGTCATCTCCCAGCGAGTAAGCTGGTACGGTATTTGTCCTACTGTGCCGTGTGTACAGCTCAGCTTCGGCCAACGGTGCTTGTCCGATCCCTCGGATCAGCGATCACTGCAATGCTCTTGTTTGGTCTCCCGCGGGCGCGTCGCGTCCGTCACATGGGTCTATTTCCAGAGTACTGAGTCCGCGGAAACTCTCCGCGGGCTCTCGCTCGTCAACTTTGGCAGTCCGCGGGGCCTTCGCCCCTTGGTTTGTCAGGTATCTAGTCAGAGTCCGCTTCCGCGGACTCGACAATATCACTCCGCGGACTGGTCAGTCCAGTGCTTTCGGACACTACTAGTCCACAACTGTTCGTCTTAGGCTTTAATGTTTAATCTCCTTGGTATGGCATCTAGCCAACAGGGCAAGCCATATCCCGGAAATACAGGAATAACTCTGTCTGTGCACGTATACGCTCCGCGGAGCGCTATGCTGACCCTCAATGGTAAAAGGACCGAGCCTTAGCGCGTCCACGACTGGATACATGCTCTGGCATCATCAATACACAGCTAGCAGCTCGAAGCTCACTCTAACTCTAATTGTATATCACCGGGCAGGGGCCCCGCGGAGTCGTAATACACCGCTAAAAGAACGAATTTACGGCTGGTTGTATCCAGGCCGTATCAGCGCGTCACCATCTGCCATGGTCATCCTCAATTCTGCCAGCTATTGGCGAGCCTCAACTATGTCCTCCTCATCACTGTCCACCTCGATAAAGGCATGCCGCTTCGCGCTTGGGATTTTCGGAGTAGCAGGCGCATCCACTGGAATTCCGACAGCTGCCTCTGCCCTAGACTTATATGCATCCTGGTTTTTTTGTCAGTGTACTCTCATCGTAGATTCCCATGACGGTGTACCTTTGTTAATGAGGTATCGAGTAGTGCTAAAGTCCGGAGAACGGGCTTGCATACATGCTTGTCTGATTCCCTGTGAATTGATTGCCTGAATGCTACTAAGGCAAATCCCATTTCCATGATAACGCCACTGCGGAAGGTCGCTGGGTCTTTCTTGATATATCTGCGGGAATTGAGTAATTAACCTTCAGCGCTGGGAGATACTGACTTTTTCTCCTTCATGCCCACGTAATCGACGTGATTGTCTTCACAATGCATGACACATTTTCCCAAATGCGATGTAAGGATTCCCGCTGGATCCACATATTTCGTGAAGGGCACATGAACATACTTGCAGAGGTCGTATCCCATCGTAAAGTACCTGCAGCTGCTAGTGACAGAGGGTCCGAAAGTGGTAGTCGCAGCATCCGGGGTCCAGTGTATGACGTAGGGGGGGAGACATAGAAAACGAAAAGGACAGGGGTTGAATGATCGACTATATATAAAGACACACTTAGCGAAATCTGATCAGAGGGGCGGAACGAAACACCTGCGGTGCCGACGGGCCTGAGAGAAACAAGTTGGGTTCATTTCATATCACATCATGTGATCACGTGCAGCGGCCGGCCGGCTCCAGGCGAAGGTCTGAATATTAATTGGCACAGATGCAGCACTATCCTAGGAGGCTAAAAGGTCCGCTTTCAGGTTTAGGACTCCCCTGAGGCTTTAGCTCTTGCTCATTTAGCAGCCCAATTTTTCTTGAGGAGCCAAAGACTCGGCCAAACCAACCACAACAAATGTCGGGGAAAAGCGGTATTCTGATTCATATGCAGCACTATCCTGGGAAGCCCAAAGCTTCGGTTTCAGGTATATGGCTTCCCTGAGGTTTTAGATTTTGCTCATTTAGCAGCCCAATGTTTCTGGAGGCCGAATGCTGAGCCAAAGACTTCGCCCAACCAACCACAGCAAATGTCGGAGAAAAGTGGTAGTCTGACGCATATGCAGCACTATCCTAGGAAGCTGAAAGCTTCGATTTTAGGTATATGGCTCCTCTGAAGTTTTAGCTTTTGCTCAGTTAGCAGTCCAATGTTGCTGGAGGCCGCCTAACCCTAGTCAAAATAAGACACAACAAGCGGTTCGAACCGCACTAGACCGTGACCTTGAATGTTCTATCAAAATGTGGCCGAAATATACGTCAGATCACATATTTTAGTGGTATCTCGTACCTTCTGCGATGCTTGTAAAACAAAGATTGGCCCCGAGGAACCAATGGTCCCATCACGGGGCTCCTCGACATTTATCTATTTGATGTTTGGCAAAGTTGAAGTTCATCCATAGGAATGGGTTCACCTGGGGTCAAACCACATATTTTCCTGCTATTTTATACCTTCTGCGATGCTTGTGAAACAAAAACTGGTCCCGAGGGACAAAGGATCCCATCACAGGGCTCTCCGACATTTGTTTGGGGTCAAATAACTTATTTTACAGCTATTTTATACCTTCTGCGATGCTTGTGAAACAAAAACTGACCCCAAGGGACAAAGGATGAGAATCTGCATTCACATTATCTATAAGTTTGATTGCGAGCGGCTTGATTCATATTATTTCTCCTGCTTAGCTGAGAAGTAATGACTAAAAAAAACCCTGTACATAAGTAGGAGTGCCTGCCGGGCTTTGCCACGGCCTTCACCCCCAAGTTCAACTTCTTCACTCACCTCCGGCGTTGGAATAAATGTGGAAGCATCGTACGAAGTGTTACATGTAAATCAAAGATTGAGGAGCGAGATGAGGCCGGAAAACACAAAAGAAACTGCGGAAAGTCATTCGGACGCTGGGAGTCGAACCCAGAGCTCCCGCTGTCAGTCTTAGAAAGCTATACTATAGAAAGCGGGTGTGCGCCGTGCACCACGTCCGAGTTCTTAGCTTGGACGTCCACCTGGATATACTAGATGGACATCGGCAGTGGCCGCAAACAGTTAATTTAGTTCAGTGAATTTCAGGAATTCCGAGCGGCGTACTTGTATTTATGGCTCCAAGTGAGATGATATACGTCGGGCGTTGCATGGACATGGGCATAGCATTGGCTGGTATTTGTGTTATGTACTCAAAAGTCCGACAAGACGGGTACGAGATACAATTGTGTAGATTCGGGAATCGGCATATATATTTCGCGGGTGTAGGAAAGGTATGTGTATAGCGGTGTACAGGGATGTAGGGCGGATTATACGGGACTATGTACGGGTATCTTAGGGGCACGGTGTAGGAGATGTGTGGAGTGGGTGGGCGAGGAAAGGGGGTGTATGCGGCGAGGAGAGGAGGTGTATGCGGGCGGGGGAGGATGTATAGATGTGTAGGTGCGCGCAGGAAAGGGCGTTGCGACGGCGGCGTGCGCGATGGGCGTGGGCGAAGATAGCAGTTTGTTGGTCGGAGAGGCACGGTGGCGAGACGCGATGCGGCGTGATGCATTGCGGCGGCGGCGCGCGATTGGGGTAAGGTGGAGAGGAGGCGAGGAAGGGGAGCGCGGGCGCTGCGTGAAACGTGAAGCTTGGAAGCGGCATACCTGTGGCGTTGCGCCCACCCCCACCCCTTCATTCAATACATCTCCTGCCGCCTCGGCGTCCTTCTCCCACCCGACCCCTCCCGACTCCGACTACTCTCCCGACTCAGCCCCTTCCCCCCGCCGCCGCCGAACCCAAACACGCGCTTCAGCAGCGGGACCTCGCACGTCAGGCTCCGCACCGGCTGCGGTTGTGTACACTGCGCGTAGACCGGCTGTGGTTGTGCGTAGGTAGGTTGAGGTTGGGCGTAGACGTACCCCGGCAGGAGGGGCGGGTACTGTACTATTAAGACCGAATGTTCACACTATGTCACCCGTCACCTGAGGTGTTCATTTTTTCGAGTGTTCATTTCTCGGCAATCACCATCAATTACCATATCTGGAGCAGCCGGACGAGAAATTTTGACATTTTTCGGCCTATTTAGGCCTCAAAACCTCAACGTCCATCACCTACGTCCCAAATGTTCAGTTCACGACCCTCCGTCACCCGTCACCTGAACATTTGGTCCTAATAGTACATGGCGTTCGGCGGGGGGTATGAGAGGCCCGCGCAGGCATTAGTGCTGCGTGCGGCCGCAGTGCCACCGAATAGCTTCGCGAGCGTGTTACGAGGACAAAACTTTGTTTTGACTCGTTTATATTCCTTCTCCCACCGAGAAAGTGTGACACTTGGGAGAACAATTAAATGGAGCTTTTCCCGACGTTTCTCCGACACCCATTAGATTTTTACTGGCTGCCATCAGCAGTTTACTGACTCCCATCAGACAGGATGTTATGGATCTAATGGTTTACTACACTTTGCCGCCGCCCCGGCCATCTCGCTCGTCACGACAGGGTCACATCAGGCTCTCGGTCCCGGAATCACTGTGCCGGGTGGTTGCATCAGCCCCCGGCATGTCTCACCTTGTCTGTTGCGCGCAGACAGACATATGAAACATCAAATGGGTTGGACTCGCCGTCCCTCACTGCCCCCGTTGTCATCCCCAAGTCCAACGGCACCTCTCGAACGAGTGCCGTGCCGTGCTGTTCCGAAGCTCTGAACACCGGCACGGTCACGGCGTATGTTCTAGCCGTGTTTTGCAAACAACTTTGGATGCAAAGCCGAGCCATCTTTCTGGTTTCGCAACTGAACAACAGTCTGGTGTCTGTTCCACGTACTAGGTAAGCTTTACCTGGAATTACACTTCAACTTGTGGTCCCAAGACTAGTTTCAACGAAGAAAGTTCAAACTCGCCGGGGCCATGCAGTTGAACGTGCCGTACCATCCCAGCTTTCGGAGAGCACTCGCCGGGCAGTGGGCATGGTTTCATGGACTGTTGACTTGGTGTTAGGATTTAGCGATTTACGAGCATAAGGCAGTAATAGAATTACTGAAGTCATGAGTAATGTTTTTGGAATATTAGTTGGTTAGTCATTAGTTGTAAGTCGTTAGAGTGTATCTGACTGATAACAGATAGCAAAGTTTGTTAATTCTCAATGCGAGTGACTTAAACTTAAATCGGTCAAGCAGTATAACTACAATTGTGACCTTGTGTCCCAGTGGGCTCTGCACTTAACAAGGGATAACACAGGGTGATAACTTCCTATAGGCTACAGTGGGCTAGGTAGTTAGTTGGAATCAGCTATAGGCAACTTAGGCTAGCTTATTCGAGGGGTAGTTGTAGATGCTACGTGGTGGATTGAAGTAAAGATGTGGTGCCGTCACATGAGGACAGGCTCTCATTATATAGCTAAGGAGTGTGGTTGCCACAGGTGCTGTGTAAGTAAGGAAGCATCTACATAAATTGGCCATGCACTAAACCATAAGGGCTTTGCACTTAATTGATGTGGAAAACATATGGGAAACATGTTTTCGGAGTGAGCATGAGTTCAAATCAAACTCAGATAGTTCCGATCAAATATTGATGGATGCGAACATACTTGAGTTTAAGCCATTCAGAAGCTTGGGCTTAAGTCTGAGTCATGGTCTGGATCTCAGACTAATGCTTTAGAAGTGTGTCTTCACTATCGAGCCAACAATAGAATATTATACTCAATAATATGCAGAAAATTCAACGAGATAATGAATTCTACAATATTCCATAACACTTGGCCAGCATGTTTGAAGCCCGTTTTTTTTTGTTTCTGGTGCCTTGGGCCAAGTTGAAGGAGTCCTTGTACATGCCATGCAACACAGTAGCCCCACAGCCCAAGTGGACTGGGGTTTCTTGATTGCAGCACATAATTCCAGACTGGCCAACGAGGTGAACTCGAAGAGAAAGTGGCTGGGAGCAAGCTGGGAGTGTTCGTTATTTTGCGGTGTCCGCATTTGGTTGATCATCTGAGCACAATGGTCAGGGGGATGCAAGCACGGACACGCAAGCCAGCAAAGGAGCACGTTGGCGAGCGTTTCTGGGCCATGTCACTCGACTCCGGTAACTCTCGCTACTACATCCGCCGTCGTTGTCGCTCGATCCTGCTCCGTGTTGGAACATCGAAGTAAGTTTTACAAAAGGAATGAGATTTACTGTACTGCTGGTTGCCGAACATCCGTGAGAATTTTGAAACCTGCGCCAACAGGATCAACTGACCCTCGCGCCGACCTTGCCCAGTGCGTTCCACATGATTTTATCTTTGTACTTATTCCTCAACGTGGGAGCGATTCGGGTATTTACATATGTACTTCAAACTGCCTCAACTCTGCGAGCTGCACATCCTAGAATTCCTCTGGAGCTCAATTCTCCAAGGCCGATTGTATCATGACTCGCGCCGCGTTGGACCTTGGCACGATATCACACTTGTGAGGAAGAGGGTAGCTGACGCGCAAAATTAAATCAGTCACGGAAAAGAGCCCTGGCAAATGGTAACCGACCACAAAAGACCAGATGTGTACTCTCCCGACGGCTCGATAGGCACTCCAGCCATGTCCACGCTCTTGCTGATGTTGACCGTAGCCAAAATCGAGGCGGCACAGATCCACACGGACCATTGCGCCATGTCTCGGCCCTGTGAGCGAAAGTGTCAGTTGCGTCCTGCGGACAGATCACTTGAATTCTCACCGGACAGATACGTCTACCGAAGCCAAAGGCCGCAGTAGGCTCCCGTATAGCAGGGTTGATTTTCCCGTCCGCTGTAAGCCAGCGCTCAGGGATGAATTTGTCGGTGTCGGGCCCGTACGTCGCTTCGTCGTGCAGGATTGCCCTTGAAGAAGTTCGATGAAGGTGGTGTAGTATCAGCACATGTTTATTACGAACTCACCAGGTGTTCCCCACAACGGCGGACCCGGCCGGAATGTGGTATCCTTTGTACACATCGTCCTGCATTACTGTATGCGCAATAGCTGCCGAAAATGAAAATGAATGCATCGAATAAAGGAAACCCTGGATAGATACCGAGGGGGGCGACCGGGTGCCATCGTAGGACCTCTCGAACCACTGCATCCACGTATGGGATGGTATCGTTAAAATCCGGGAGCCGGTTGGTGCCCACCACGTCGTCGACTGCTGCCTGTGCCTTCTTCTGTACGTCGGGATACATGGTCATTGCGAGGATAAAGGTTGCCAGCGCAGATACAGTCTGGGTGGGATTTCAGGGCGGGATTACTTAACGCACACAAGGCACGTACAGTCTCGGCGCCAGCTGACCAAGATTGGTCAATACTGCGTCAAACGCGTGTAGTCGAGCGAATATCCCTCACCGGCTGGTATATCACCGAAGCGGGACAAGGTTGCTCACCATACAGAATGTTCGGAAGCGTAACAGTTACGTACCATAACACACACCGAGGATATTTTTCAACACCTCTTCTTGGTCACCTGCGTCTGGCTTCCCCTCGATCTCGTCCAAAACCCTTGAAGCGATGGATGATTTCGCCGTGCCATCCGTCTGTCGTCGGCACGTTGTCAAAGAAGGCATGTAATATAATCAACCACGCGCAGTCTCACCAGAGAGCGTTTGACAAAGCTGTACGGGATGTCCGGCATGGCCGAAACTACTTTATGCCACTCCCGCGCTTGCTTCTTGAAACCTGCGCCGGGAAAGAAGTCTGGGAGGTATTTTAGGCTGCCGTCTCCTTAGTTCATAATGAGCGGATATCAGGAAGGAGGGAACGGACAATGGAAGGGAGTCGACGAGGTAGGAGCCTCGGTTCCCGGTGCATGCCATCGCATGCAGAGCCTTCTCGGATATGTCGATGTACGGGTCGTCTTCAGGCTGGACATCGATACCATAAGCCGTAGACAGAATTACCATCCCCGCCATGCTGCAGGGTACGTCCGCGTGATCAGCCTGAGAGCATGATGTACTTGAATGAATGAACTCACTGCCGAAGGTGTCGTTCGAATTTTTCCGGCGAATCGAGGAGCCGCTGGAGGAGGACG